AAAAAAAAAAAAAAAAAAAAAAGTGTGACTATAAAGATTATTGAACATTATGTTAAAATGTGTTACACATAGAAGAAAAACAGAGCTCATGTTTTCTCTCGGCTCATTTCCTTTCTTCGTGTATTATACTCAAGTACTTAGAAGCTACTTGCTTTTCTCCCAAGCTAGGGTACAAACTCCCTGACAGTTAAATGCTTCTTTGCTTTTCATCTGGTGCCTTGCACAGGGCTTGGCACATGGTTTGGTCTAAAATATTTGTTGAATAAATTTGCAGATAGCTCAGATATGTAGGAGGGGGAGAGAGGGTTACTGAAAAATGGAAAATGAAGGAATTTAGGGTGGGGAGGGAGGTATAGGAAAGAGGAAAGAGGGTTCTAACTTGCTCCTCTTCACTGCAGCCCAGTGTTTCCCGGACTCTTTGAGTTCTGCTCCCGTTACACAGGTGCATCTCTGCAAGGAGCAACCCAGCTGAACAACAAGGTGACATAGTCCCAAGTTCTGTTCCCTCTTTCCTATGGTTCCCAGGACTCAGAGCCTCAGCTTTGGGGATAGGCGGGAAGAAGACTGTAAATTGGGTGTTTCTCTTTCAGATCTGTGATATTGCCATTAACTGGGCTGGTGGTCTACACCATGCCAAGAAGTTTGAGGTGAGTGAAGATGGGGGAGACAGTGGCCACTCTCAGGTAGATGGTCAGGGTGATAGCAGGGGCAGTTGCATGGAAGACTTGTTCCTCCGTTTATAAGATCATTGTTTTGCCATAGGCCTCTGGCTTCTGCTATGTCAATGACATTGTAATTGGCATCCTGGAGCTGCTCAAGTAAGTAGCCCAGGAGGAAGTGGGGGCACTTACAGGACTCTTAGCTGATCAGGTCCCCAAGACTTTGCCCTGGCCCTGACCCTGACCTCTTCCTCCTCCACTTGCTTCTCCCCATTTCTTGAAGCTTTACTTAGGCTGCTTCTTCCTCTCTTCTGCAGTAGCAGATTTGCTACTGCCTACTCACATTTCAGCCTTCTCTGCACATCCCTCTCCTGTCCCTGCCTCCAGCCTCCAGGCTGGAGCCCCAGAGTTGCCCTTAGGGAACTGGTGGTATTAGGTTTCAGGTGACTTGGGCAGAGGCAGACTCTTCATAATTCCAGACCCTGTGTTTGGGAGGAGTGGGTTGGAGGGTTCACCTCTACCTCAGACCCTGGCTTTGCCCCCATCCCAGGTACCACCCTCGGGTGCTCTACATTGATATTGACATCCACCATGGTGACG